ACTTGCGCAGAGCAACTTGCACAGACCAGTTTGCGCAAAGCACCTTGCCCAGAGCAACTTGCGCAGAATGGTCACGGGGCTGTGATGCTTTCGGACCAACCGTGGTCTAGTTTGGTAGGTAACCGCTGGCATCCATGTTGAGTTTTCGCTCACCTCCGTTCGTTTCAAGTATAACCCTCCTCAGAGTTAGTAGGCTTATAACTCGGTTGATTCGTAGCGCACAAACCCAACAATGATTTTTCTTGGTAAATGAATCTAATCTTCTGCGGGTAGTTCCCTTTTAACCGACTGTCTTGAAGATTTGTATGTTGTAATTTGCCAGACACCTGATGGCACCCAGCCCATGTGAGCCACAATCAAGTTCCCGGTAAGCACAGGTTAGCCAGAGACACAACCAGAACTAGGTGCAGCCATCCCTTTGGTTTTTGATTTGGTCGACCCTCCCACACATACACATTGCTTGGTGCACGACGCCTTTTGGAGCCGACTTTCCTTTAACGGTTTGTGCGGGGTAGGGTTGGAGTAAGGCCTTAGGCCATGATCTGTCAGCTTGGCAGAACCAAACGTGAAGGGGACGCTGCTCACCTGTATTTGTCCAAGCGTGTTTGCGTAGCTTGGTACCTTGATTCTTGGGGTGGCTCAGGGAAACTGAAAGGCAACCAGTCATTTTTGGGTCCCGGTCCGCTGACTTTTATACATGCTGCCCGCCATGTTGCTTTTGGGTCCCGGGTTTTATGAGCCTACCTACCCATCGAACGCGCGCGCTTGCACCACAAATGCGGGATCCAAGACCTGGCCACGAGCTCAAACATGTTTTTCTTGGCAGGTGGATGCAAACGTCATTATTTACTGGGGCCAATTTGTTTGGTGAGTTTGCTTTTGGTAATCTATGTCTCCGGGCAAAACAGGGGGGCTGGTCCCAGCCGTAGGTTTTCGGCGAGGTTTGTTTGACCTATTGGATAGACCGCTGGAATCGCATGATTCAGAGCTTCGCATTTTGGGCCAGAAATTCATAATGTTGGGGAGTGAATAATAGAGGCCCCCCCCCCAAACAAAATGGGGGGGGTCAATAGAGGAAACCCTAAAAACAAAATGAGGGTTAGACCGGGTCTTCCCTAAGTAGTATTCCAGTAAGTATTGGTTAGTATTGGTTTAGTATTGGTTTAGTATTCTTGCTGACTGGCTTAGTACTGCTTAGAATTGGTTTAGTATTGGTTTAGAATTCTGGTTGACTGGCTTAGTGCTGCTTAGAATTGGTTTAGTATTGGTTTAGTATTCTGCTTGACTGGCTTAGTACTGTTCAGAATTGGTTTAGTATTGGTTTAGTATTTCCTGGCCCCAGTCCTAAAAAACTTTTCTCAATTAACTCCCCTTAAACAAATCTCATTATTGGCTTCCTGGGTGTTCCCTGTACTACCCCTTGAAAATTTGGCAGGGTGCAACTTTTAGTAAGGGCTGTCATAAAGAATTTGGCTGTTGGGGCCTCAGTTAAACTTCCTTTTCTGGGGAGACTCAGTAGTTCTTTGGAAAGGGAAGCCCTTTTCCTTGCAGGCATCCCTGACCCCACTCCTAAAAAACTTTCTCAATTAACCCCCCTTAAACAAATCTCATTATTGGCTTCCTGGGTGTTCCCTGTACTACCCCCTTGAAAATTTGGCAGGGTGCAACTTTTAGTAAGGGCTGTCATAAAGAATTTGGCTGTCGGGGACCTCAGTTAAACTTCCTTTTCAGGGACTTCAATCATCATCTCCTTGTTGGTGGTGGTGGTAGGTTGGGGGGGCGGGCGGGGCAGAGAGAGACAGGAGTTGCACTGAACTCGGGATTAATTATCAAACTTTTTTTTGGGGAACATTTTTCCGGCCTCACAAAAACTTTTGTGTATTAACTCCCCCTTTTGCTTTTCAGGGGTGTGAATTATTTTGGGATTTTTTGTGTATTGACTCCCCATTCATTTTTCGCAACCTAACATTAGCCCAGAAAATGGCCCAAGGCACCAGAAGGCAGAGGTATTTCGCTAGGTTGCAATGGCTTGCTTTGTGACAACGCTCGCAAAATCAGTGTTATAACTACAAGATTCTGACTCGCCAGTGTTGTCATCAGTTTCGCAAGTTTCTCAAAACAACCGACCGGGAATCAGTGCCGGTTGCCACCAACAATTCCTTCCCAGTGGTTCCTTCAATTGGGGCCTGAGTTTTATTTGCATGATTTGCAGGGGGCTGTATGTCCCCCGACCATTTTCTACATGTTTGGCTTTTCTTACAAATTCGAGGGACTGTCACCCGACTAATCAAAGAGCGCCACCCCCTTTTCGGGTTTCTGTGAAAGTGCCTTTGATTCTTTATGAGCGGAATCAACAAGTTTCAGCCTGTCCTAATGTGAATGGACAAAATCGTGCACCAGTAATGGATGAAACCCAGTGAATACTGGGACAAAGCACCTACCAACTGGTGCCAAGTGGACTTTGTCCATCCACATTAAGATGCCACTGCCATTTTGCAAGGATCTTTATCCACGCGTCGGCGCCCAACGTATTCTTCACCAGCTGCCTGCACCTCGCTACGATCATGTTGGTCGAGGGGGTTTTCCAGGTGGATTCGAAGCCGGCCACTTTGAGGTTGGTTCTTGAAGTTTCTACAATTGCCTCAACAGGTAGATTGAGGTTGTGGGTTACTATGAATCCAATGGCCTCATCCTAGAGAAACGTGAGGCGAGTAATTCGGCAGCCCCTTAAATCATGTAGGAGCCTGGCGATTTTCGATGTTTGAGGCAAAAGGTAGCCTGTTCGGAGGTGAAGGGAAACCAAGACCACGTCTTTTCGTGGGATCCCTCAACAAACACACCTAGTTGAATCATTCGGACCTCTTGTCACCTCCATAGGCCCAAATGAGGATCATTTTTCACCAACACGTAGACCCACTCGCTTCCGGGCTTCCAAATTCCGCATACCCTCATGGAGACGTGAGTTTGGATTTGGACCGTCGCTTTCCAAACGGAATATGTCCCGTTCCTACTCTTCACCGGTGTCGGCTTTATTTAGAGTTGATTTTGCTCAACCGTCCATTCAGGACCAAAGAGTTGGACTGCCGAACGATGAACAACCCCCTAGCTATTAACCCCCCTAGTTTTTGTGTTTAGTGATTGAATTCCACATTCTTGCGGACCCCAGGGATAGGATCTCATTCATCAGCTCAGCTGTTCGAGCTATTCGAGCTTTGCTCTGGTTTTGGCCCAAAGGGTAAACCTTGTATGTCCAGTTCCTTTTGTGAGGGACGTTAGCTTGGTTGTGGAAAACTCGGCTGAGCTGATTTATGTTTTACCAAGGGGCCCCCGTTTGTGACAAAGTGGTCATGGAGAAGGCCGTTGTTTGGTACTAGTATAAGAGAAACGGCTGTCTCCGACCGTGGAGGTTTGTTGCCCCTTTTTGGAGCCTCACCCTGGGAGCCAGCCCCCTTTTGGCTGTCAAATGGCGGTAGGGAGCGCGCATGTTCAATCGCGGCGTGCAAAAAGGACGCTGTAGCTTGCGCCAATTTGGGAATAAAACAAGCTCACCATGGTGTATGTCCTGTATTTGCAGCTCCCTTGCTTCAGGCTTTGGAATTTCTTCGCTGTAAAGTTTGCAGATGGAACCCACAAGGGCTCTTGAGGTAAGACACGACGTTAGATTGGTTGTTTTGATTCGAATTCTGAAATCGCCTTTTGCGGCGGTTTAGTCAAACGTTGCTTGGGGAAGTAAGCTGGCCAGAAGCATCCCCACCCCTGTAAATATGGAGTTGGGGGAAGGGGGTGACCCCTGGGCTCCACTTCCCTTTTATGGGGAAGACCAGATCAACCAAATTAGAGACCCCGCCCCCCCCTTCCCCCTTATGGTAGGGATGATCCAGAAGCTTCCCCAAAGTTTCCGGCACCCGTTCGAGGAAGTGCTGATTGTTTTTGTTTGACCCTGCCCTTCAATGTAGGGATGGTAGTTCCCGAGCAAGAGACCCTTCCAACCATACATTTTCCAGGTACTTGTACAACGGAAGACATGGGTATGTCCAAAGTAGGGGGATCTCAAAAAGTGGTTGCTTTCAATTTGATTTCCCTTTTCCCTCAAAGAAAAACACCCCCTAGATACATGAAGGCTCTGTTCTCCATGTTGTTGAGCCGTGGTTGGGATACCCCTGAGTTCCTGCTTCCAATCTATAGCAAATGAGGGTGTGAGCGTGTGCCGCGGTGTTTGCTCCCCCCGTGTTTTGCACCTACCAAAATCACGTTTGGTCTCACGAGAGATGGGTATGGGTCAAATCAAACCACCAGGGGACCTCAGGTTTTGGTCCATGTTTCCACTTACTAGGGTTCCATTTGGGGTACCTATTTTTGACCCACAGCCAGATCACGTGTCTCAGGCTGGTCTCTTCTCCCAGCGCGGAGGCCGCCGCACGCTGGGTGCTGGCCGTGCTGACCTATGCGCAAGGAGACGTCAAAAGCTTCGAGCGGCATCGAAAGAGGGTCAAACGAGCCCTGAAATTTCGCAGGGCTTCCCCCATTTCCCTTTTTGCAACCAAAGGTGGCAGTAAATTCCCCACTTGTGCAGGGGGGAAACTAAATATGACCCTTTCTCGAAAACTGTGATTTGGTAATTTGGGTAGACTCTGTATTCTGGACAGCTGTGTGTTGTGTGTTTCCAGTGGGCCACGTGACTGGGCTCCCTTGTTTGAAGGATGCAGAAATGCAAAGAGTGGTAAGCCATGTGGATGGTTGCGAAATCCATTTCGCACCACTTTGAAACCATGGGAAATCATTGCTTGTCGGTATTTACAGGGCAATCATTATCCCCCCAAATTTCTTCGGCGGTGCAGGCTTTCGTCCATCCACAGTATTTATGGGAGGCAGACTTAGGGCCAGGAGCCGGGGTTCGCCCACGCCCATCTTGGAGCCTGCATGTCAGCCATGTTGGCAATTGCTTCGGGCTTTGTCTAGGCTCCAGGATGTTAGGCTGGAGCCTCGCGCTCTTTGAGGCATCTGGAGCAAACGTGCGTGTGGGAGCACCCAGCAAGTGTCAATAGGCAGAGGTTAGGGTCAACTGAGTTTTGGGTTTAAGGCTTTGGTTCAACTGAGTTTGGGGTTGAAGGTTTTAGTTTAGGGTCAACTAAGTTTAGGGTTTAATGTTTTGGTTTAGGGTCAACTTGGTTTAGGGTTTAAGGTTTTGGTTTAGGGTCAACTGAGTTTAGGGTTTACGGTTTAAGGTTTTGGTTTAGGGTCAACTGAGTTTAGGGATTGTTGCTGGCGAGGGCTACCTTTTCTGCATGAGGTCATGGCAAAGTGTCCACTTCGGGGTTCCCAGGAACAAGGAAAACATTGGGAATTTTAACTTTTTGCACTTCCGTTTCATAAAACGGATCTCGAGGAGTTGAGGCTTGCCCGCGGACCAAATATGCTGAAATGCTGGCCCTGCCACGATTTTTGGAGGTCCCGAAACATTGTTCCCGAGGGCCGCGGGCAAACCGCAGCTCCTGGCCGCAGACTTACAATCACAAGGCTTGCGTATTAAAAGATGAACAGCAAGGAGTGATATAGAGCTCTAAGATTGTGTCTTCGCTGGACAAGTTGCAACAAACTCACGTTGGATGAACCAGCTCATGCAGTATGATATACAGCCCCTTACCTGTGGATTCCTTTTTCTGGTGTGTGAATCAGGTGATTTGTCAGGGAAGAAAAGAGACATACACCTGTAACCAATGGTCCGCCCACCAGCTCTCTTTTCGTTTCCGTGTAGTTTGCAGATCCCGGGAAACCAGACGTAGGGAGGCGGGGAGATGAGGGGTCACATCGTATGAAGGCCAGCCCCGAACAGGCACTTACTTTTGAAAGGCTTCATCGGTGGGTCAAAACCGGATCAACGTTGGGCAAGAGCTTGCATCTTTGCCCTTTACACGCATAGTGATGATGATGATCATGATCATGAGGGTCAAACAAAAACATGCCCAGTGAGGGTCAAACAAGCCCATGCTGCAGGTCCGTTACTTTTGACTGCCTCATTTCCAAAAGTTCTCTACAGGGAGTTTACCGTCCAAAAACAATGGTTTGGGCTGACCCCCTATGGATTCTCTGTAGCTGGTGTCTTCGCAATTGTTCTGAGGGTACCCTGGTACCTTTTCGGGCTTGAAGGAAAACCACAAGGAACAAATACATTTGTTCGGTGATGCGGGGATGACCTTTTCAGGTTGGTTTCAAGGGACACCCAAGCAACAACTCGTCATGTTCGGGGACCCGTTCGTTTGGACACCGCATTTGCCCGCACCTCTCAACAAAGGCCTCTTGCATCGCAGGAGTCTCGGTGTGTCGGAGTTCGGGCCCCTTCACTGCACGGCGGGTGCGGCTGCTGAATTTGGGTAGCTACCTGCTGCACGCCGCCTACATCTTGACCTCATTGCTGGCCCCCTGGCCGAGATTGGTTTTGATCTTTCTTTCAGACTCGGGGCCTGCTGGCTCTCGCTGTCCCACGACTTTTGGTGCCCGGCCACCCGATCTGTTTGGACCCTTTTTTCTTTGTGCCGTGGGAGCCAGGCCCCAAAGAAGCTTTCAGAAGCAAGCTGCGAAAAGGGGACATGCAAAACTAAATGACAAAAGCAAAACACCACAGGGACAGCAGTTCCAACACATGTCGAATGTGCAGCTGGAAAAGAACAACACCCTTTATGTTCCCATTGGTCACCAAGACGACTGGGTTGCTACTTTTCCTTATTCGGAAAGGGGAGCAAACACGGAGGACGGCACCCTTGTTGAACCTGGCCCGCAACGAAACATGAAGGTCGACGGTTCCGGCAAGCGGAACAAGCCAACCGGAGCCTTGTAAGTGGTTTGTTTCCACTCCTGAATCCTTTCTTGCTGTTTCTGTGAAGGTAAGGTGTTGTCTTCATTCGGCGTCCTTTGATTTCCCTTGTCTTGTCACCTGGATCGAGAGTGGTCAACACGCACGAACAGATTGGGGGTTTCGCTGCATGAATGATCAGGCAACTGTTCTGATCGGGGATGTGCGAATCCCAGGTCCAGCTGCGTGTAGGATTCAATGTCAGAGTCCTGATGATGTTGACCCGTGTTCAATGAACCGCCCAATTGGCATGTAGTTAGTCTGCACAAACTATAGCAAGCTAGGGTAAAACTAGCACATCCATGCACATATCATAGTGACAGAATGTCCCCTTCTTCCTTCGAATGCAGAGAATTACTACCCCTTAGTAGGGCACCCTCCTGGAAGGGAAGCATTATCTTCTTCCTCGATGCCCGGGCGTCACGTGAGACATGATGGGCCGCCACCACTGCACTCCGGCACATTGGGCGCAGACACAGCGGCGATTTATAGAGCCGCAGACATACACAGGGGAAAGATCCCCAGTGGGCAGCACAGTAGGCCGCCCACATCACAAGAACCCCCTCAGAGAGGAGGTAACCAAAACTACGCAAACGGAAAGCACTGACTGTACAAGGCAGCAAAGCGAGAGGACGAGCCAAGCGGAAGCTGCACGAAAGCAGCGGAAAGCTACCAGCAATGGACAAACAGAGAAAGTAGTCCATCCTGTACTGCCAGCAGCCGACCATTGCAAAGCAAGGGGTTCAGCAGGGACAGCCGAGGCCTTGCGAGGCTCAAGGTGACCCGCACCACAACACACCCAGACGACCCACCAAGAGAGCAGACAGCAAGCCCAATACCTTCAGGCAGGAGATCTTCCCCACAACCCCGGCAACGAAAAACTCGGCCCTCTGCAAATAGCAGAATGCGATGCGCAACATCCGAAGAAGGACCTCGCCTGCACGCGGGAATAACGCAAGGAAGAAGCACCGCACACAAAGGAAAAGGAACTGCCACTGCCACCAGGTAGGTAGACAGGAAGCCCAGGCCCAAATCATTGCACACTGAAGCGTAAAGCTGAGAGACACGCAGATGGAAGAGTGGCATACACGATCCATTCAAGCTGTCCTTGGGAGGTGGCCTCGCAGTCACCGCAAAGGAGATCACGAAGCAGCAAAAGCATCCACCAATTGTCTGGCACCCACGGAACAGCCTTATGTCAAGCCTCCCAACTCGAAGCGCGAGCAATAATACACTCCATGGCTGCAGAATAAGCTGGTCCGGCTGAATTGCTGCTGTGCGTTGGCCTCCAGAGGAAGAAAGCTGCACACTTGACGCACCAAAACATGCTCCAGGCGAAGGCAAAAGCGTGACGCAATCCAGTGCGAAGTGCATAGTGAAGACGCCAACCAGGCCATCACGTCGCAGTTCCCCAAAAAGCAAAGGCAGGCCCGGACAGATCAAGCGGCTGCAAGCTTCACGAGCGTTGAGCGAGACCACAACGAAGAAGAAGGGGTGCGCCCCACACCAAGTCCAGACCGGAGCGTGGATGAAGGGCAAAGCCTCCACAATCCTCCACACATGTTCTGCGGAAGGATTGCTTGGCCTCTTCCATAAGGACACGAAGCACCTCGCGTGCCGCGATGCGATGATGCGCTCCGAAATTGGCGAGATTAGCAAAACCAAACACGCAGCTCCACGCAGCCACCACCGCTTGGTAGACGCCAGACGCCTCTTGCAGAGAGGTCGCCTGGCCCCGGCTGGGCAAGCCTGAGGTGAGTCGCTGTGAGCCGAAACACCTAGAAGGGAAGCGTTATCATAGCTGGTACCAACTACAGCCTGAGCGTATGAGAACATGGGGTCGTGTGTTCAAATAGGGCTTGTATGCTTGTATATACCACTCCGGAGGTGGGGGGCTGAATTTTGGAATGTCTTAACCTGGTCTTGATTGGCAGGTCGCAATGTTGCGTTTTGCAGACGTGAACTTCTGAGCCTCAACGGAAAAGGCCGCTAAGACATTGAACCCTGAATTTCTTAGCGAAAAGACCTGTTAACCAAAGACGATAGGGCCTGTAAAGGATTCGTTGGGTTACCACCCCCTTTTGGGCAAAGACACCCAACCCGACTGAGGATCACCAGAGTCCCATGTCAGGTGAATGAACATTGACCCTGGTTTGTGTGAGTGTGAGCGTTTGTTATTCCTGACCGAGGAGACCGAAGAGCCCAGGAATGAGCTAGTTGACAACGTGCTTGTCGCCGCTTGGCGCGGTGCTTCTGTTCTCGAGGAGCACCTTCTCCGAAAATCCTCAAGCAGGAACGGGGCAAGGATACCCTGCCAGCAGCCTACCTTTTCAACTTGTTGGTCGTTCCTCCATTGGTGTGATGGTTTAGGAGAAATACTAGGAAGTACCAGTCCCCCAGAAGGGTTCTCAGAAATTTGGCAAGAACTCATAAGAAGCATCAAAATAACTTTTCCTGAAGGGTGAGGGTTAGATTTGCTTGGTACTGAGGGTGTTTGACGGCTGACTACGTGACGCGGATAAAACCCGTTCTGGCTTGTGTGACCAGCAGCTGACCAGCAGTCGAGTGTGAACTAGTTGTCATGCTTGCAGGGCCAATACCAAGGGAGCGCTCCCACCTTTCCACATGTGGAGCTTAAGACTTACGAGCTATGTCTTCCGCTGCCAGGCGCGTTCGTTCGAACTGTGGAGCGAACTCTTAGGCCAGCCGCTTCGTCTTTAGCACCTTCTCTCTTGACTCCAGCCTGAACCTGGTGTGTCAGCCGCCGCTTGTCCGGTTGCATCCTCCGTGTCAAAGAGTTCATGATGGTTGACTGCTCTAGAAGAACATCAGCCACAAGCAAATGGGTCATGCTGAGCACAAGCAATGGTTATTAGTATGGGGGTCCTTGTTACGCAGCAGCTCTGGCTTTGGAATGCTTTGGAGGTGACGTGATTGTTTTCCTGTGAGTGGCTCGCAGCTTCGCAAGGGCCCTAACTTTGTTGGTTGGCTGGCTGGTTGGTTGGTTGTTTGGTTGGTCGAGTAGTTGGTTGGCCAGCCGGCCGGCCGGCCGGCCGACCGGTCGGTCGGTCGGTCGGTCGGTCGGTCGATCGGTCGGTCGATCGGTCGGTTGGTTGGTTGGTGCGATTAGTTGGCTGGCTGGCTCTCCGGCCGGCCGGTAGGTTGGCTTGGTGGTTGATTGGTTGTTTGGTTGGTCGATTAGCTGCCTGTTGGTGGGTTACATCTGGACTTCCTTCAAAAGCGAGATACTTGCAAGTCCAAGTGCATGCGTGCTAAAAGCTCTGCTGCTTTTCAGCAACCCAAGAAACCACGCGCGACTCGACGCCTCTACAACTTTGGAACGTCGACAACTACTAGCAAACATGATGCCAAACGCGATTTCGCAATCATTGAATTCATTTTTTGCCATTGAACTAGCTCCGCGCCAGACAACGAACTTGAAATGGAAGGCGACGCCCGACTCTAAACTTGAAGGAAACACAATCAAACGCACAGTTCGATGCATCTACACCTTCACTGATCAATGGCGTTAAATAGCTTCAAAACACGGACCATGAACACGTTAATGTTGTAAGCAAATCATTGAGACAAACAAGCACAATCTTGAAGCGACAAACATCTTGACTTAGTTTGTTGAACCATCAACAAATCAATCTGATGCTGGAAACCGCACAACTCGGACGAGTGAATCTAACTTTCACACAGGAATGTTGTACTGAATGAACAAAGTCACCAAACATCTTCAAACCACAACTCAACAAACTGCTTTTTTTCGAGCTTCACACAAGCCAACACGTAGATTAAATAACGCTATCTTCAATCAACAAACGTCTTGAGATATTTCATTGAACCTCCAACAAGTCAACCTGATGTTTGAAACCACAACAACTCGAGCAACCCCCATTCACAAGCCAATATGATTCTCACAAACCAATTCCATGCTCCCCAAAAGCCAATCTAATCCCTCCCACCAGTCAACTTGCAACAAAGCAAGCCAATCAAATCCTCCACAAGTTTGATGACTTTTGATGCCTCCCACAACTGATCAGACCGGGCAAACACTCGAACGCTCGAGACTGGACGCACTGAGCAACACTAGAACACAAACAACACTGGGCAACGCTGGGCTCTGGGCAACGCTGGAATGCTCGACACTGGGCAACTGCTCGAACACCGAGACTGGACACGCTGAGCAGCAATGGAACCCTCAGCACTGGGCAACACTGGGCTCTGGGCAGCGCTGGAACACTCGACACTGGGCAACGCTGGCTCGCATCAGTTATGAGTATGTTTCGTTTTGTTTTCCGAAGGAATCGTGGCCTACAATCATGTTTCACTCGGCGTGGCAATCCAGCGGGAAGACGTCGTGTCCAGCTTGAAGACTTTGCAAGCGCTGTGCCGAGACAAGTGAATTCTCTTCTACCACTGGCGCAGCCAGAGCGCCGTGCGAGGTCCGCCCTTGAAGGCTGACCCCGCCATTTCTTCTCAACAGAGCCACGCTGCCTCGAGCAGGAAGGCCCCACGGCGTACGACTTTGGCCAAGGAGCGTGAAGAGTGACAGCGTGTGTTGGCATATGGTTTCTACAATCGCGCGTGTTTTGCCGCTATGCTATGTGCGCGTGTGGTTGGTCGGTTGGTCGGTTGGTCGGTCGGTTGGTCGGTTGGTCGGTCGGTTGGTCGGTCGATTGGCTGGTTGGTTGGTTGGTTGACAAGTTTGTTGATGAGTTGGTTGGCTTAGGTGCCCGGAAGGCTGTTAGGGCAAGGCGAGAGAACATCACGCGTCACTAGTCTTAGTTTCCCCTTGAGCATGAGTCCCATGCTACATTGCCAAAACCAACACAAGTCTTGGCTTTGGCACCCACCCCAAAACCAGCGCTTTAGTTTAAGCGCGGCCTGACCCAATCCGAAACCCGGGTGAAACGAACGGGACCAACCTCAACAACTGACCGAGACTGCCTTCCTAAATGACGAATTTCCCTGTGCCAGGTAGTGCAGAGGTGTTCAACCACGACCCTGATTATAAGTGTTTCTGCGCTACTTACGACAAGCCTATTCGGGGCTACAACGACCTTACGCAGGTTCTTGACTAGGGAATTGCTTACTTCCAGCTGGCCAATCAAATCTCCACTCTCTCGCTAAACGGAGAAACCAATTGGGAGGCGGTTCCCCTCGGGAGGGGGGGGGGCTCTCTGGAAAATTGGTCCCGATTTCGATTTCCCAACTGGGCCCTCAAACTTCGCTTAAGCAGAGGAAATCGCCCCAGCATGTCGGGGTATCCAATTTCAGGGGTAATTAGAGCCCTTTTCTGCCAAACAAGTCAATTTTCTGCCACACGAGATACTGGGAAACACCCGGCACATCTTGCAAGCACCAAGCCCCAAGGCTCGTGTCTATTGCGACCTTATTGGCCCAGAGGGCGCCGGATAGCCGGCTCTTCGCAAGTCAATTCAGCGACGTGGCGTTGACTTTCCGAACGCAGGGAGGGCGCTGATGTGATGAGTTTCCATTGGCGAGTGTCCTTGGAGTTGATGTTGGTCATGTTTTTGGTGGTGTGTCCTGTGTGCGTTGTTGATGTTGGCATGCATTCCTTTTGTGCAAGGAGTTGTTGATAATTTGGGGAAGACCACTATCCGGGACCCTGTTTGCCCCCCCGCCAGCGGATTTGAGAAAACACTGCTGGGCAAATGAAGGCAATCAAGCTCACGAAGATTTGGGCTGCTGATAAGATGGTGGCTGCTTTCATGGGTGTGCCTCACGAAACAAATTCTTGCTCCAGTGCCCAGGCAAACCCGTTACCAGGTCCTTGTCGCAAGCTTGAGCAAGTCATTTGTTTATCTTTCGGAATCAGATTGCCCTGGTAGCGTAGCTGAACAAGCTCAAAATGTATGGGTCAAAGCTTGAAAGCAGGGCGTTGTGGATGGTGGTTGCCATCCCGGTGTTGCTTTTCGTTCTAAAGGTCCTTGCAAGGAGTTTAGTACTCGGTGACCATCGGTGGTTGTTGAGGTACCCATGGTACCTCTTCGAAAGGTTTGTGGCGGAGTTGCGATAGTAGCTTGTTTTTCGCGTAAGTTTTGCGCAACTGTATCTTGTAAATCAGTGTCATGTGAAAGCAGTGCATCTTTTCTGTTGAGCCGTCCTTCTATTAAAAAACCCTTTTGATTTTGCACTGATCAGCGTGGTGAGGCTACAGATTGATACCCTGCTTGGCTGGTTAGTGTTCCGAGTGTGTGGGTGTTGGTGGCTCCACACTCTGAAACTTGGGCGGTTTTTTTCGAGAAAGTTCCGCGAAAGCGCAGGCTTTGAGTGCAAGGGCGCCGCATCTCGGGCACTGGTGCTGAAAAGTTGCGTCTTTACGGCTCGCGTTGCGGAAACGCAAAATATGCGTGCTACACTGGTACTTAAAAGCTGCGACTTGTTGACTCTAGAAATGAAAAGTGCGCGTCGATGAAGCCGCGAAAGATTCGCGAAAGTGACTATTTCGCGAAGAATGGCCGGCCCGCCGGCTTGAGGCAAAGCAATTTAGAACGACCACCGCATATATGTACACTAACCCGACCCAAACTATTTGACTACTAGATTGGTTTCTTCGGTTCGGATGGTTTTTCCCTTAGCTTTGCGCTTCTGACGGGTACCGATTCCAGAGCACACAAGCCTCAGGCGTGGAGTTTCAAATCCTTGTGGTGAACGTGCTGTTCACCTACATCATAGAGGCCGGCGGACCCGATATGTATCGAATGATACATCGTTTGAGACATGTCCTTTCGGGCCAATTCTGACGCAGAAGGAAACACTGTTAAAGTCCTGTTCAATGTTTGGGTTCATCAACCCCTGTGAAAGGCAATTCGATTCTGGGGGCCTAACACCAAGGGGCTATGGCCGCCCACAAGCTCGAGATGACTCGGACATCATTTGGCTGGAAGTTCTTTTGGATGGGAAGTGGCCTCGCAACCCAGAATGGTTGGTTTGTCACTCACTCTCTGCAAAGCCAGAGGCAGAAATCAGGCTGAAGCCTTCAGGATGACTGGCTTAGTCCTTTCGCGAGGCAGTTCTGCGCTCTCATCTGCAAGCCCTCTTCGACTCAGCGGATGCAGAGGCTTCGGACTGGGTGGGTTCCTGCATCTCGGCTCCCTGTGTTGAAACGTTGGGGTGCCCCTTTAATGTCCCTCGAAACAACCCAAGTGGGTCCCACTTGTCGGACAGCGTGTCAGCAATTTGTTGAGACTTTTCACATATTTAGAAAGGTATAAGAAGCAACAGCTGAGCCACTTCCGGAACACTGGGAGAACTGAAGCTTATCGCCCTTGCTGTGAACAGATGAGGCGCGAATAAATGTGCATTGCTTACGTTTGTTTGGGTGTGCTTGCATATTTAACAGTGTCAACAAGTAACAAGTGTTTATGCCTCTGATGATCCGGGTCGGATGTGGCGGATGTCATCTTGACATGAGTTTCGGGCGCGGAAGCGAAAATGTTGGAAGGCATCAATCCACCCGCCATAAATCAAAAATGTGGTTGTATGCTGGTTTTGCCATCGCTGCGCCATGCTCCTTTGGCAGATCCATTCTCCAAGTTGGCCACCTCACTGCTTGACACCGTTTGGAAACCAGAATGGACCCTTGCGTATGACTGAGTATGACAACCCGCCTCAAGCAGTGCCAGTCAAAAGTGTCCTTGTAGCGGGATTTGAGCATGGGCCTGTGACTAAGCGTTGGCAATACTGCAACACTTAAGTTGGTCAATGCAGTTTAGGCGGCTGTGCCATTGGGCAACTTTCGCAAACCCGTCCGTGAGATGTTGCGCCTGCCACACAATTTCTCTCTTCTCCATCTCCTTCTTTCTACTTCTTGCTTACTTTCTGTTGATAGGTAATGGCATACCGACATGATACTGGCTCAAGAAAAATTGACTGCCGCCCGTGCTGACATTTAGGTAGATCCCACCTTTCAACAGGTTATCAGCCGTATCGCTGGTACCTTGTACAGTCAGCTCTCACCCGCGCCGCAATGGCGTCAAGCGGCGACGGATGCCACCCTGCCATAGCGAGGATGAACGAAGCAGTGGCCAACGAATTGATCAAGGGTGGGCATCCGGAAGGGAAACCGCCATGCAATCCGTCACAGCGCTCCCGAAGCAGTTTTCCTGAGTCCGACCAAGGCGATGCGCTTGTGCCCATCACTTCGGTCGTCCTTCCGGAGGATTCAATGGGAAGCGGAGGGGAACCTCTCGCCGGACATCAACCTGGGCAAGAGATGCACGCGCACATGACTAAGAATGAGACTCACCTTCATCAACATCATGTGAGCGCCCCGAACATATATCAACATAGCCAGACGGTGAATGTGGTCAACACAGGTCCGAGTACTGAGGAAGTGGCTGCCTATGCTTCGGCACGCCACGACGCCATCATTAATCAGCTCCAAGCCGGCCATGTTGAAGAAAAAGGCCGACTTTATCAGGACGCGGTGAACCACATCAGTGAATGCCAAAAAGAGGCAATGGCGAAGGAAAGAGAGTTCAACGAGGCAAAGCAGCAGTGGGTTGCTCAACGCTTAGAAGCTGAGAAGAAGTATGAACAGCTCAAATTGATTTGGGAAGTCACCCACAACAAGCAGAAGGAGGACGCGGACAGGGACGCTGCTGAAATGAGGGAGATTATCATGAAGCAGTCAAGGGACATTGAAGCACTACGTCGTGAACTGAAATCTCGCAATGAGCAGAGTAGTTCTTCTAATGCTCCGATTTTCGGTTTGAGGCCAAAGGCCTCTCCTGTACAGACGTTTCCTCCTCCCGGCCTGGATCTTAGTTCTAAGGTACGTATCAGGTCCGATTCCACCGAACTCCGCCGTGATGGGCCGGGTGCAGCCGATGACCTTGACGGGGATGCCGATGAATATGAGCCGACATCTCCGGCACAGGGTCCAGACGATGGGAATGCGAACCCATCAGGCGCAGGTAAAGGCCAGAGCGGAGGCGGTGGGGAACCACCTGCCGGCAATCCCGATGATGACGATGATCATGACGACGACGATGACGATGGGAATGACGATGGGAAGAAGAGCAAGAAGGACAAGAAGAAAAAGAAGAAGGACAAAAAGAAGAAGAGCAAGAAGGACAAGAAGAAGAAGAAGAAGAAGAGCCACAAGAAGCGAAAGAGTGGGTCTCCTTCCGACTCTCCGAGCTCTTCATCGTCCAGCTCCTCATCATCATCTTCCTCATCATCATCATCGGAGAAAGCACGAATGATCCGCAAGAAGCTCAACAAGATCTTGGGTAAGCAGGCGAGCGCAGTGGACGCAGACCATGACAAGCCCAAGGTCAAGGAGGCGGAGAGGATTGTCATTCCCTCCTTCCCACTTCCTGAGAGTTACAGGAATTGGCGCATCAAGGTGCGGGAAGCCGTATGTGCGGCATCCGATCGCCCCGATGACGCTTTCACGTGGATCAGCAGAGTGTGGGAGCCCGCCGTTACGATCGAGGAGCTCAAAGAGCCAGGTACCTTCCTCACCTTGGACGCCAAGTTGCTGTCCGCCCTCACCAACATCATTCAGGGTGACCTGGCGAGACAAGTCGACACCTTCAAGGAGGTAGAGGCGCAGAAGAGGAATCCAGTTCGTGGGAGACAAGTGCTTCTCATGGTGCACGAGCACCTGAGCACGAACATCAAGCACGGAGCCACCTATGCCATGGAAGATCTCCTCAACGTGAGGCTCGTGAACGATAACCTCACTTCCTTCATGCGTAGCTGGGAGGGTGTTCTTGCAGGGATGAATGCCAAGACACCGGATGACTCCATGCTTGAGGCTCTGTTCTACAACCAGCTGAAGAAAAGTAAGCAAATGCAACACCATTTGAATGTCTATTTGAGCGCCTCGGAAGAGTCCGCCGATCACTCATACACCTACTTGATTGAATCTGTGAGGCAATACCTGTCTTGAGCCAGGCTCGAGCGCAACCGAGAACGGGTTGCTAGGCAGAACGGGGGTAGGCCAGCCGCACCCGCCGCTGAGAGCCAACGTGTGCCTAAGGGGTTTTGCATTGCATTTGTCAAGTATGGGTCGTGTCGGCGGGACAATTGCACGTACAAGCATGAACAGCCATCGGGCGATGCCAGGGGTAGGACCCCGTCAAGAGACGCTAAGCCTAAGAAGGGTAAGGGTAAAGGCCGAACGAATAGCCCAAAGGGAAAGAAAGAGTGCCGTTTCTACCCCAAAGGGAGGTGTGACCGTGGTGAAAACTGCCCGTTTGCTCACATCGACCCGAAGCCGGCCGTCCCAGGGTCAAGGGAGCCATCCGCAGACAAGCAAAAGAAGCAGGGAAAGGATCGGAAGCATCGCAAATCGAGCAGGGATCGTTCCAAGTCGACCTCTCGGTCCACTTCCCGTGACTCCAAGGGAGAAAAGAAGAAGGGTCACAAGGGAAAGTCTTCCGGAAAGCCTTCTCCTGCTGCTGTGTGTGTGTTGGGATGCTTGTTGTCTTCCATGATGAACGCCCCTGTCGCTGAGGGGAACCTCATGTCGGACTGGAAGCATGTGCCTGCCCTCCCGAGCGTGCGTTTCAGCTCGAAGGTTGAAATGAATCGGATACCAGCACATGGTGAGCAGTTTAAGATCGCGGACAAACCGCGCGTGTATTCAAAGGTCTACCCAATCGACCATCAGTTTTTCCATGATGAAGTCAGCATAGATGATGCTAGGCTCGGAGCAACCATGCTCGCCTTCATTGTGAGACGTGAATTGGAAGGCCATCCGACTAGGTGTAACTACGAATGTGACAGCGAGATCGGATGCTGGCAATGCGCCCCAAGAGACATGGGCGCAAAGCCCGCACTGGCGAGCAAGAGATTCTCTCCGAACTGTTCATGGATTATTGACACTGGGAGTGGGACCGACCTTTTTACTCGTGCGAATTGCCCCGAATTATAATTCAAATGACCCCGTGATGTTGATGACTGCCAATGGACCAAGTGATTCGTCAAAGCAAGCCAATATGGCCGCAGGTGACCTTGGGAACACGGATCCATACCTGTTGCCACAAACACCCTCTGTTCTCTCTGTAGGTTTGAAGTGCATGAATCAGGGTTATGACTTCATATGGTACGCGAAGGACAAGCCATTCTTCGTCAAGCCTGATGGGACGAGAATATATCTCAAAGTTCGAGATTATGTCCCGTACTACGACGTGTGGGATGGCGACTCAGCTATGGCATGTCCCGCCAAAGGCACGCCGCCAAGCCGACCGGAAGGTCAGGTCGGCAGAAGCAGTGCATTGAGTGAATCATCTTACTCCTCCTCCGAGCAAGCGGAAGATGCAGCGGGAGAGGAGTACATGCCTAGCATTGCCCCTCTGGAGGACCCTGAGATGCATGCTAGAGTTGTCGCCGAGCTTCTGGCGGATGACCCCATCGAAGTCAAACCAAATGAACATGCTGAGCCGATGGAGAGTAAAGATTTGGCAGGGGAAGATGTTGTTGGCAATCCCGATAAGAAAAGCCCTAGGTCACTTGCAGAAAATGCCCTAAGGCAGGAAGCAGCATCACGGAAGCACCTTATGACACACCAGCCAAAGAATCCATTCTGCGAAGTGTGCAAATGCGCCAAGATGACCAAGTCTCCCTCTCGCTCGCGGGGGGGATCCAGACAAGTTGATGCTCGAAAGTTTGCTGAGCACATCACGGCCGATTTCATAATCACTGCAGACGAACAGGAACTAGGCATAGACGATGAGTACTCTGCTCTTGTCATAAGTGACGTTGCCACCGGTTTCAAATATGCATACCCGTTTGCTAAAAGAAACACGGAAGCCACTGTGAAGGCGTTTCAGCATTTCACTTCCTCGTCAGACGAGGTTGGCACGTTTTATAGTGACAATGCCCCTGAGCTAATTGCTGCAGCTGAACAGATGGGCTGGAGACACGTCCTCAGTCAAGAGTACATTCACAAAACGAACGCGGTGGCTGAACGAAGCATCAGAACCGTGCTCGAGGGAACTCGAGTCGCACTTGCACAGGCCGGATTGAATCATTCATACTGGCCGCACGCCGCAAGGCATTGGTGTTTATCTCAAAATGTCTGTGAACCACCTTCTGGTTCAAGAA